ATATCCAATGAGAGTATACCTTTAGAATGAGAACATCGGTAAAGCTGTACACTCATTGGATATCGCGTGTCGCGCGCGACGAACATCGCGCTGGTATGCCGGAGGCATTAATCACTTCAATATTCACAAAGACGCGAACTCCCGTAAGGATGTCGGTCTTTAATAGTATCTCGTCGGTGTTTCCAAAAGATGGAAACGAGTCCACGTTCTCGATGTCGTATCTTTTCAATGGCGACCATGAGAATCAGTGGTCTGTTTTCTGTTCCTGCACTAGAGTCACTAGACTGCACTAGAACTCTCTTTCTCGCTTTCGATAAATATCAAACATATATCTATCTCGCTTTAAGTTCCAAAAGTGTACACTAGTTCAGCCACAGAAAACAGACCTCAGGGGCTCTATTTTTGAAAAGAAACGTATACGAAAGTCTAGGGAAATACTATAGTATACGTAACGTATACTGTAGCATTTCCCTAGACTTTCGTATACGTTTCTTTTCAAGAATAGAGCCCCAGGATTTGGCCGTAATCAATTGACAGTCGTGATTCAACGAGCAGACGATCAAAATTGTTCCTTTTGATCACGATGAGCGTGAAGCAGTACATGCACCCGAGAAACAAGTACAAACGACCGCCAGATTACAAGCAACTCGCGGTCTTGTACCCGGAGTTTCGTGAAATCGCGATCATGGTATTACAATGTGTACTTTATAATTTATTCGTCACGTTTATAATGCAGATGAAATTTAATGTAATCTGTAATATATTACATGCGTATCTTATGTTTATTGTAAATATATTTATTAATATAATGTAAGTGTAATATATTTAGTTTTAGAAAACTTAAGATTTAAAAAAGATTGAGGAAAAAATTAGTAAAGTATAAATGAACATATATATACAAGAAAATGTTATAGAAAACTATTTTTTTGTATCATTTTTTTACATTCTCTTATATTATTTCTTTTCTTCAATTTCTGTGCAATTTTTGCGACTTAAGAAATATAAATATAACACTCGAATGTGATATAAAGCAAATTGTGTGTATGTATGCTTTTTATTCATATTGATTGATTGATTGATTGCTTAGGACCTCACAGGAAGGGTTAGGATTGACTTCAAAGAGAGGAAAAGCCTGCATGTACTTACAGAAACGCTTCTGAAGCATGATTTTGACTTAAACGTGAACATCCCAGCAGATAAACTGAATCCAGCGATTCCATTACGCTTAAATTATATTCTGTGGATGGAAGACTTGATGACTCATTCCAAATTGGAGATGGAGAAAGTTACAGGCATCGACATTGGTGATTATAAAACTGCTTTTGAAAACGCTTTCGATGAATCATCCAAATGTTGCACTTGAAAAACAGAAACAAAAATTGGAATTATTGCAATTATATTACTATTATATTTTGATATTAAAGAGTAATGTTAATGATAGCTATAATGATGAAGATAGATTCATGAGATAATACTTTTCAAAATTAATTATGTTACAGTAATGTATGCTATTCATCTTATAATGTATACCTGTATATTTAATATAATATTTTAGACTGCTATACAAGGTCTGAACAATTTCATTTTAAATAGGAACCGGAGCAGTCTGTATATATGCTCTATTACTGGCAAAAATCTATAAGTGTCAAGTGATTGGCACAGAAGTTGACAAAGGAAGTGTAGAGCATGCTCAGAAATGCATAAAGAAAAACAAATTACAAGATTTAATTGAAAGTAAGTGCTATTAAAACATTTTCTTTCATATGGAAGCAAATGAAAAGCTATGAATGTTTTTAAAATTAAAGCTTTATTTCATGTAACGGGATTTTCTGATATAGTATTTACAGTGAACTCTAATAGAATTTTTAAGGATGTAGTACAGGATAATAGAGTTTATGACTTCTCAATGTGCAACCCACCGTTTTTTGAGAACGAGGACGATAGCTTCAAAAAAGTCGAAAAAGTCTTACCACCGAGAAACGCACCTACTGGAAATGACAGTGAGCTGAAAACCGAAGGTGGTGAAGTATGCTTTGTGACAAAGATGATCGAAGAGAGTGTCAAGGTGGGAGATCGAATAAAGATCTACAGCACAATGATTGGCAAAAAAGCCGACTTGGCTGTCTTAAGACGATTGTTAAGATCGAAAAATATAAAAAATATGACGTGGACGGAATTCTGCCAGGGTCACACAACACGGTACAAATAAATATATTAAGTTTTTAAATATCTTTCTATACAAAACCTGTCAATATAAGTTTAATTATTAAATGTTACATCATTAATCATTCATTATTTTGAAGCTTATTAAGGCCTTTCTTTGTTAACAGATGGGGTTTGGCTTGGAGCTTCCTTCCGCAAAACGTTGTCAACTTGACTACAGCACCTGTCATTAGAAAACACAGGAAGTCTATAGTGGGATTGTTAAAGGATTATAAAACCTCAATAACATTTCCTGTGAATGATAAATTTTCCTGTATAGACGATATAATTAGTTTTTTAAAAGTAACAGCGAAAGAGTTGAACGTAATGTATCATTTTCTTTACTTCTGTGTTTGATATTAAGTTTATGGATTATTTGCAATTAAGAGTTAATTTAAAAATATTTGTTACATTTTATTTTATTATCAATAGATCGAGTTGCAAGACATACCTATTCCTGAGAATAGTTTCGATAGCTGGGTGTGTCGAATAACTGCTAGAAAAAGATCGTGGGAACATATGCGCAGAAAGCGGCGTTCAGCGCAACAATTTGCGTTAAAAAGAGCAAAAGGTGAAAGTGGTGAATGTATTGAGGCGAATACATGCGCCGAAGAAACTTCAATTAAAACTGGAAATAGTATGAAAAGTTCAGATGAGGAAAGTTCTGATAAAGAATTATCTGAAAAAAACGATCCTTTGCTTGTATGTAAATTCTGGGTAGAAGTAGAAAGCCGCAATGATTCTCAGGATATAATTACGCAACCTAACGAGATATTTAGGATATGGATGGTGTTTGAAAATGGATATGACGGTTTGGACGCGTTACATTCATTGCGACAGTATCTGATAAACAAATTGGAAGTGAGGGAAAAGATTTTAGATAATCCATCGAAGACGTAAAAGAGTTAAAAAAGAATGCTAATGGGAGAGTCCATTACTTCAGCTGTATTCGGACAACAGAAAAAATTCAGCGAACAATAAACAGGATGCAGAAAATTCTGAAGAGAATTCTTAATTAGATCGTATTACATATAAAACAATTTATTCCATGCAATATGTTAAAGAAAATCTACAACAGGATAGTATATGTAAATCAAATTTTTGTAACGTTCTTTTTATTTCATGATATATGTAAAGTTTTTTGTGTGTAAC